TTGGCCGAGTACTTTCAACCTAAATCAGACGACAGGAATGACGAACGAGATTGGGCGATGCTGGCAAGTTCAACGTCCCATCGTAGCCAGATGCGTTATCAATTCGACCACTCACCGTACTCTTTCGTCTCTGTTCTTTCCCCCATGTGCCAGCCACTGCAGCGTGTGTCGTTGATATTGGCCTTGACGGCCCCCTTCAAAAGTAGAAGGTACTTTAGGATGAAGTCCCTGTCTCCAATCGCATTCCAATGTGTCACCCAAACTCGATCGGCCGAAAGTTCCTCAATTACGTTAGTCACTATCACGGGTGTCGGTCCTGACCGGCCCAAATCTTTTTGTTTTTTTTTCTAATCTGCGCTTTGTGGCTTTGTTAGTGGTAATAAACCGGCCATTGGGGTCTATGGGGCCAACAGTCTCGACTCACCTCGTCATACTAGTGTTGCTGCTAGTAGTCATTGGAACTGCCTCTACGGGACGGGGATGCGCCCGGCTTTTTTTCTTTTGGGGTTGGGGCTTGATCTCTTCCGGTGGACAGTGGTGTGACTGTTCCGTTCTGTGGTTTTGTTTGTTGACCGGCTCCGGTTCGATAGACGAGAGAGCGACTGCGTGTGTGTGTCAGTTGCGGTTGGAGAGATATCGGGAAACCCTATCGATCTTCGGGAGACGGTCCGTCCAGATTCGCCCCGCCTCCCTGACTCCTCTGTTACTACTTCTCTCCTTCTCCTTCTCCTTCGCCCTTTCGTCTCGTCTCTTCTTTTTCCTTCATCGTCGTACTCAAGTTCGTCCCATCTTTCCTCCTGTCCCGTATACGGCGGTACATACCTTCCTCCAACCTAACAATCCACCAATTCCGCCGGGCAGTCCGGGCCTGCCTCACCCTCCCCGCCGATTCGATTCCCGTTTTCGTCGGTCAGTCCCGTTAGCTCACCATCATGACTGCTCCGGGACGTGTTGGCCGGCTGGGTCACATTGTCGGGCCCTCGACCATGGCTTTCCGAGGTGCCATGCCCGCTCGCCTACCACTGAGGGCGTCCACTACTATCTCGTGCCCACAACCGCTGGTGGCTGCCTCCGGCCTGCGATGGGCGTCAAGTGAATCTTCGCAAAGAGGCAAGTTGAAGAAGATTATCCCCAGCACTGCTTGGGTCCAGTATCCCGAGCTGTTCCCCGTCCGCGAGGACTTTGCGAGTCGCCATATCGGTCCCGACAACTCCAGCATTCAGGAAATGCTTCGGGTTTTGGATCCGCCGGTCGAATCATTGGACCAGTTCGTCCAGGAGGTCATCCCCGCAGATATTTTGTCGAAGCGCGAGCTCTTCCCGCAAACCCGTGTCAGGTTCTACGCGACTAAAAAATACCCTACCCGCCAGGGCCACCAAGAGTGGGAAATCATGAAGATCGCCGAGTCTATGGCCTCAAGCAACAGGCATAGCATCAAGGCTCAGATTGGTGCGGGCTACTATGGCACTCTCACCCCTGAGGTCATCAAGCGAAACGTGCTGGAGAGTCCTGCTTGGTATACCAGTTACACACCCTACCAGCCTGAGATCAGCCAAGGCAGACTGGAATCCCTTCTCAACTTCCAGACCATGGTCACTGACCTGACCGGCCTTCCAATTGCGAATGCGAGCTTGCTGGATGAGGGAACCGCTGCTGCCGAGGCCATGACCATGTCGCTGAATGCTCTCCCTGCATCCAGAGCAAAGAGGCCCGCCAAAACCTATGTCCTCTCCAACAGGCTTCATCCTCAGACCAGAGCCGTCCTCAGGGGCCGCGCCGAGGGTTTCGGTGTCAACATCATCACTCTGGATTTCCACGACCCCGAATTCCCCTCCAAGCTCGAAGAACTGGGCGACGACTTGATTGGTGTCATGGTTCAATATCCAGATACAACTGGCCAAGTCTTGGATCACCGACAGCTCGCCGACCTTGTTCACAAGCAAGGCGCTCTTCTCAGTGTTGCAACCGATCTTCTGGCTCTCACCATGTTGACTCCTCCAGGCGAGTGGGGTGCCGACATCGCATTTGGCAACTCTCAGCGGTTTGGTGTGCCTCTGGGCTTTGGTGGCCCGCATGCGGCCTTCTTCGCGGTGCAGGAGAAGCATAAGAGAAAGATGCCAGGTCGTCTGATTGGTGTCTCCAAGGATCGTCTCGGTGGTCGCGCATTGAGATTGTCCTTGCAAACCAGAGAACAACACATCCGCAGAGAGAAGGCCACCAGCAATGTTTGCACTGCTCAAGCCCTTTTGGCCAACATCAGCTCATTCTATGCCGTTTACCACGGTCCCGAGGGCCTTCGGGCAATCGCGGAAAGGTGCAACTTGGGGGCCAGGGTCCTGGAGTCTGCAGCCAAGTTCTGCGGGCTGCAGCTCTACTCGCCAAATAACTCTTGTTCGGCGGTGCCGTTCGATACCCTCGTCATCAACCAAGACCATATCGGCAAGGTCTTGGTTTATACCGCCAGAGAGAGAGGTATCAATATTCGCTTTATTTCCACCGATTCGGCCGGCATCAGTGTTGACGAGACCACCACCGAAAACGATCTTATCAGCCTTATTGGCGCATTCCAAGATGCTGCGAGGAGCCTCAAGATCACAGGCAGAGATGAGGCCCTTGATGCTAACCCGCAAGTGATCTTTGAACACTTCTTGAAGCACCATGCCGAGCAGATCAAGCAGTCCGGACCGCTGGGTCATCTTCCAGAACCCCTGCGTCGAACTTCGTCTTACCTAACTCACCCCGTTTTCAACACGCATCACTCCGAGACGGAACTCCTTAGGTACATCCATCATCTCCAGTCCAAGGACTTGTCGTTGGTACATTCCATGATTCCCTTGGGCTCGTGCACCATGAAGCTCAACGCCAGTGCTGAGATGGCCCTCATCACGCTTCCCGGTTTCTCCAACCTTCATCCTTTCGTTCCGCCAGACCAGTCGGAGGGATACTCGAGGCTTGCAAAGGTACTTGAAAGCCAGCTGATTGACATCACCGGTATGGATGCCTGCTCGCTTCAGCCCAACTCGGGCGCCCAGGGTGAATTCGCTGGCTTGCGCGTCATTCGCAAGTATCTCCAGAGCCGGGCACAAAGCCACCGTGATATCTGCCTCATCCCTGTCTCCGCTCACGGCACCAACCCTGCGTCGGCATCCATGGCCGGTATGCGTGTTGTTCCCATCAAGTGCGACACCAAGACGGGCAACCTTGATCTTGCCGACTTGGAGGCCAAGTGCAAGCAGTACGAAAACGAGCTCGCTGCCATGATGATCACGTATCCCAGTACCTTTGGTGTCTTCGAGCCTGCGATCAAGAAGGTCTGCCAGATCGTGCACGCCCACGGTGGACAGGTCTACATGGATGGCGCGAACATGAACGCCCAGGTTGGTCTCTGCTCTCCTGGAGAGATTGGGGCCGACGTCTGCCACTTGAACTTGCACAAGACGTTCTGCATTCCCCATGGCGGTGGCGGTCCTGGTGTTGGTCCCATTTGCGTCAAGGAGCACCTTGCCGGCTTCTTGCCCACCACCAAGACCATGTCAAATACCGAACTCAACTTGCCCGTTAGCAGTGCCAGCTACGGCAGTGCCAGCATCTTGCCCATCAGCTGGTCCTACAACGCTCTCATGGGTAAGTTCATTGGTCCTTGGAGCTGTGTCGTGTGTTGTGTATGTGATTATGTGTGCTAACCTCTGAAAACAGGCGGTGCTGGTCTCAAGAAGGCCACCCAGGTTACCCTGCTTAACGCCAACTACCTCCTCAGCCGTCTGAAGGAGCACTACCCCATCTTGTACACCAACGAGCATGGCCGTTGCGCCCACGAGTTCATCATCGATGCCCGTCCGTTCGAGAAGACCTCCGGCATCCAGGCCATCGACATTGCCAAGCGTCTGCAAGATTATGGCTTCCATGCTCCCACTATGAGCTGGCCCGTCGCCAACACGCTCATGATCGAGCCTACCGAGTCCGAGTCCAAGGAGGAGCTCGACCGTTTCGTTGACGCCTTGATCGCCATCCGTGAGGAGATCCGTGAGGTCGAGGAGGGCAAGCAGCCTCGTGAGGGTAACGTCTTGAAGATGTCTCCTCACCCCATCTCTGACATCATTGGAGGCGATGGCGAGGCCGGCAACAAGTGGGATAGACCTTATAGCCGTGAGAAGGCTGCTTACCCGTTATCATGGCTGAGGGAGAAGAAGTTCTGGCCCAGCGTTGCCCGTGTTAACGATAGTAAGTGATGCGCAACTCTCCTTTCTTTTCTTTCTAAACAGTGGCTAACAACTTGTAGCGTACGGTGATTTGAACCTCTTCTGCACCTGCCCTCCGGTTGAGGATACGACCGGTGGCAACCAGTCCTCCATCCAGGAGCAGTGAGCACTAAGGCAGTTTTTGATTTTGCATATGGGAGGGAAGTGAAGGGAAGGTGGTCAGGTTTCATATTTTCATCTTTCAACATATACCCGGAGGCTAGCACACACTCGAGCAGCCTGATGTAATTTCAACCACTCAGGGGTGAGCGGTGGTTCTAAGCTTTTACGGCTTACGTTTAACACGTACTTTCAACACTGTAATGAAAACGGATCAGGGGGGTCTAGAAAAAGGAGTTCAACAGGATCTAATCTAGGCTTGGCTTGCTTGGGTTTTTATAGGAAGGGATAAAATAAAGGATAGGGGAAAAGAGATCAGCGTGGGATTGTTTGTGCGGTGCATTTACACAAGATGCCTCTTGGGCAGAGTTGGTTTGGTACCTGCCTTAGATTAACAACAAACAGGAATGCAGATAGAGAGAACCATGGTTTATAGAGAAAAGAGCTTATAGATTTCATAAGTCGTAATGGTCAATCTCTTCCAAGGATAAAAGTGTCAGGTCGAAATAAATTTGGTATTGTTGATTTTTGAAGATCGAAAAAGGCAGGTCGGGAAAACTGTCAAACAGTCTCGTAACTTTGTTTCTCTACGGTATAAGTGAGAGAGTTGATAAACCCAGCAAGTGCGATATAGGCCTTCCGTCACTTGCTCATATCCATCACATATCTTCCAATAACCCTATTCGCCCTCATCTCGTCGAAAACGCTCTGAAGCTGACTGAGCCCAATAACCTTGTACGGCGCATGGACCTTGCCCCTCAAAAAGAAATCCAACGCCTCGGCCGTATCCTCCCTGTTGCCCACATACGACCCTTTGACCTTGATCATCCTGACTACTGTATCAAACACTGGCATGCTCACCTTGGCTCCCGCCGGCATACCGATGCAGACCACGGTGCCGTGCGACCGCACATAGCCTGTGGCCTGCTGGAACGGCTGTTCCTGCGGCGCCAGCAAGACCACGCCCTGTGGTCCCAGTCCATCGTGCGTGGCCTTCTTCACATCAGCAACCAGGTCCTTGGACTCCGTGAAATCGATATACATCGACGCGCCCAACTTCTTGCACGCCTCGCCCTTTTCCTTGCCGCCATCAATGGCGATCACGTTCAGCCCCATCGCGTGGGCGTACTGTATGCCGATTGTGCCCAGCCCACCTCCGGCACCCACAATCGCCACGTACTGGCCCGGCCGTGTGTCGGCTTCTTTCAGGCCCTTGTACACTGTCAAACCGGCGCACATGATGGGCGCGACGGCGGATAAATCGGTCTGCGGCGGGAACCGGGCCAAGTGTGCGGCGTTCGCAACGCAGTACTGCTGGAAGGTGCCGTCCTTGGTGTAACCTGAGAGCTGCGCCTTCGGGCACAGCGATTCTAGGGCTTGCTGGCAGAAGGTGCAGTGGAAGCAGGTAGACATGAGCCACTTGACGCCGACCTTGTCGCCGATGTCGACGTTGGTCACCAGCTCGCCCTTTTGGACTACTACGCCGGCGCCTTCGTGACCACCGATCACAGGGGTCTTGCGCGGCAGGGGCCAGTCGTTGTCGAGCGCGTGCAGGTCGGTGTGGCAGACGCCCGAGTATTTGATGTTAACGAGGACTTCGTCGTGGCCGGGGGTGGGAACAGGGATTTTTTTGTAGGTGATTACTGCGTGTTGGTGTTAGTAAGGCACATAGTCAAAGTTCCATGAACTGGATAAGGAAGAGAAGAGAGCAACGTACCGCCATCCTTCTCAGTAACCTGCGCCCACTGCTCCTTGGGGATGTCTGCTGCCTTGCTCATGATGCCGATGCGGGTGCAAGGATGAGTTCTGTGTAGATAGCGGGATGAATAGAACCTGTCCTTTGGTTGTTGAATAGGGATATGAACAAGACGAGAAAGGGAACCTCTGCAAGTAACTTGTGAAAGGAAGACGACTCTTTTTGAGACAACACAACTAGGTGGAGAGGGAAGCATGTTCCGGCACTACTCTCGGAGAGCTCGTATTGGACAGCAGACGCGTCACTACCACGCAGCCGTGATATAGATATACTCTCAACGTAATGTGTTCTGGTTATGCTTGTGTCTGTGGGATGATGTGGCTATGATCCGTCGCAATGACAACTTTGACGTCACTTCTCCCCTTCGTTTGAGCTGTTCTCCGAGTGCAATGGCCATAGCTCAATCCCATGATAGAGCAATACACGATCTCTGGAAGGCCCTTCTTCTCAAGAGATCTGTCCACCTAAACAAACCGCTTGATTGTCATTCAGCCTCACGACCCGGAGAGACCCATCATTCCCAGCGAGGTGCGATTTGTTGGAGGGCGCTGATGCCAAAAGGCAGGCCGAGCTGTCACCACCCTGCGCCAACGCGTTCACACTTAAAAAAAAAAAAAAAAAAAAAAAAAAAAAAAAAAATTATCAAGTGCCACAAAGCGCCAGAGGTATCAGCCGCCGCCGAAGGCAGTCACAAGAAGTGAAGCTATTCAAAATTCCGTGGCTGCCTCAGAGAACAGATGTTGACGATCAGGAGGTGCTGCGCCATGCTAGCTCGTTACGGAACATTTCGATGTGTCGGGAAATGGTTTGATTACTTCACCAAGATGTTTGTTGAGAACCTGCGAAGATCCAAAACATCCAATGCATTGATGTGCTGCGATCGTGAAGAGAAAAGTCCGACGTCGTAGTCGAAGTACAAAAGCTCATTGAGTTCAACGGCTGTGAACCTGGTGATTATGTCAGCGGCAACCACTGACCGGGGACGGGGATCTTCAGAGTCTAGACATGCCAAGAAGAAGCCCCTGGAACCCCGCGATTCCAGATGTATTGTAGCTTATCAAGCAAAAAATTATTCAGCCGCCCCTCCTTATCGGCGATAAGGAAGAGACGTGTTGCCGTGATCGCAAAGTCTCTTATACCCATCATTGAGCACACCTTTACCACGAACTTCAGCACTGTCTATACCCTTTTTTCTTCCTTGGACCTTGCCAATTCGTCCTTATATTTCTCCGACCTTACAACCATACCAGGAATACTCTTGCGCGAGCCCACCATGACGTTCCCGCAAGACCCCCAAGATCCTAACCACCAGGATCACCAGGATAACGACATGCACGACGAGAACGAGATTATCCAGGATGATGAGATTGATGAGGTTCTTGAGGGTGACGACGCTGAGGGTGATGTTGCCATGGACTCCGATGACGACCACGAGATGGGTGAAGGCGACGAGGAGATTCTCCTACACAATGACAGCATCGCCTACTTTGACGCCCACAAGGATTCCGTCTTTGCCATTGCGCAACACCCCATCTACCCACAGCTTATCGCGACAGGCGGTTCCGAAGGCGAAGCCGATGATGCGCCCGGCAAGGGCTACGTGATCGACACCTCCGCCGCCGTCTCGCGCCCCGTCCTCCCTCCCAGCTACCAGTCCGACCCGAGCGCCGGCCAACAGCAGAACACCGAGCTCACCCCCATCTTCGAGATCGACGGGCACACCGACAGCATCAACGCTATCGCCTTCACACTACCCAAGGGTGACTTCCTCGCCAGCGCCGGCATGGACGGCCGGTTACGCGTGTACGCCGTTGGGACGGGCCACAACCAGTTCCAGTTCAAATTCATCGCCGAGTCACAAGAGACAGAAGAGATCAACTGGCTTCTTCCCTGTCCATCGGCCGACTTCCCCAACACGCTCGCACTCGGCGCCTCCGACGGTTCCGTGTGGGTCTTTACCATTGACCCTACCGACGCCGCTAGCCCGATCCAGATCGTCCAGTCTTACTTCCTGCACACGGGGCCGTGCACGGCCGGCGCCTGGTCGCCCGACGGCAACCTGCTAGCCACTGTATCTGAGGACGCGTCCATGCACGTCTTCGACGTCTGGGGCGTCGCCGCCGCCAAGAATCTCATCACCGACAACGGCCAGACCGTCGTCTCGCTCACCGAAGCCGACCAGCGCTTCGCCGTCGAAGGCGGTCTCTACTCGGTCGCCATCTCGCCCTCGGGCAACTTCGTCGCCGCCGGCGGCGCAGGCGGTAACATCAAGATCGTCGGTCTACCGCGCCTTTCCGAGCAGCCGCAACAAACAAAACCAACAGCCTCCCGTCCCGCCCCTGCCATCCGCGGCCCTGCCGGCCGTCGCATGCCCGCCCCTTCACAACGTTCTTCCGCTGCTGCGGGTACCGAGCCCTCAGCCCAAGCAGGCGCCATCCTCGCCTCCCTCGCCGTGCAGGGGGACAGCATCGAAACCCTTGCCTTCTCTCCCTTGCCGCAGACCCTCCTGGCTGCCGGCTCGGTAGACGGCAGCATCGCCGTGTACGACACATCCCGCTCTTTCGCGGTCCGCAAGCACATCCGCGGCGCGCACGATGGCGAGGCGATTGTCAAGGTGGACTTTGTCAAGAGCGCGACTTCGCAACCCGGCACGCACGGGTGGTTGTTGACGAGCTGCGGGTTGGACGGTGTAGTCAGGAGATGGGATCTGCGTGGTGCGACGGCGAGCCAGCAGACGGTTCAGGGCGGTACCGCGGTGAGCGGGTTGATGAAGGAATGGAGGGGACACAGTGGTGGAGAAGGCGGTGGTGTTCTGGGATTCGTGCAAGGGGAGACAGGGGAGAGAGTTGTCACTGCTGGTGATGATGGTGTGGTGTTGGTTTTTGAGGCTTGAGCTTGACGTGCATAGATCATGGGGGAGAAGGAGTTCTTGATATGGAGAGATTTATACCTTGATGACAGGGAGTTTTGCGTTGAGGGTATCAAGATAGACAGCGAATTGATTGTTGCATATTTGGCAACCTTGGACTGCGCTCCCATCGCTATTCGACATGAAATGGTATTTGCAAAGCGAAGCGTGTGAAAGCAACAACGATTGCGACCACAGTCAAAGACAGGCCGCCAACATCGAGGGGAGGAAGAATTTGCAATTGAATTCGAGTTTACGAGTCAAAAGAACGATATCAGCCAGAGTTCCGGACGCCATTTACAGTTCTTTCAACCACGACTAAGCGGGACGTTATATGGGCGAAAAGTTCTGGATACCTTACTCAGCTAAGTTGACCTCGAAAAACACTCTTTGTGCATAGAACAAACCACCAAAAACAAAACGAGGCGGCTGTTCCTTCCAAACAAAAGCAAAACCAAAAACTCTCTCATGTTTACTTACCACGAAGTGAAAAAAGGGAAAAAGTAAAAGTCAAGTGCGGTTTGTGTGGATCGAACACACGACCTTCAGATTTACGAATGAAGTGGACTTCAGTCTGACGCTCTCCCAACTGAGCTAAACCCGCTGAATATGAAAGGTTATGTCGAAATGGCATCTATATAGTGGCTCGTCAGTCAATGTGTCCACTACCAAAGCGATACTGTCCATCATCCCTCCTTCATTTATGCATCTTGCCACTCTCCTTTAACTGTTGGGATAGGCTTCACAAACATGTTAAAAGCAAAAGTAGAATCAAATATCAAGCTATGAATGAATATTAACAGCACTTATAAACATCAGATGTGTCGAACTAAATACTTCTAGTAACCGGGGGGTATATGCTATACATAACCAAACGGAAATCACCTCTTCTATAACAAAAGGATATCAAAACAATTTCATCCCACGGGACCCCTTTAGCTATAGTTTCATACATCCAGTCCAGTCGTTAGTAGTTTGTAAAAGCAACCGAATGCCGCTTGTTCCTTCCTGTCATTTCACCCCATCAATCCCATTCATTCCCCTTCATCCTCTCTCCTTTTTCTTCTTCCTTTTGACATCCACGCTCAAGGCTTAGCAACCTGCTCCTTCCTAAAGAACTTGAAAAACCCAATCGGCAGCACAAGCTGCAACCCCAAGACAATCCAAAACCACGGCCTCCCCAACCCGGGCATCACGCCCGCACTAAAATCCGGGAAAACATCTCCCGGTCCATCCTTATCCGGCGCCGTAGCCCTCGCCAGCATCATAAACACTGCCCCCAAAAACTGCGCCCCAATAAGCGTGGCAGCCACATGTTGCCTCGTGAGCGTCAGCAGCAAAACCATACCCAGCCCCACTCCTTGCACGGTATCCAGCAGCCCTAACCACAGCCACAAGCAGCGGGAGATGATTGCCGAAAGCACCACGGAACCGCACCAGGGGAGATAGAGCCCGATTCCACTGGTGGCCCACAACATCTGTGCCCAGCGCGGGGCGCCGAGGCCGATGGCAAAGAGGGGGACGATCCAGGGGTGGGTTTTGGTGAAGTAGGCAAAGAGCCAGAGCAACAGACACCAAACGCCGACGAAGAAGCCGATGGCCAGAAGCAAGATGGCCCAGCCGGGAACGGCGCGGGAATAAAACAAGAACTCCCAGGTGCGGCCGTAGGGGGCCGAGAGGAAGTAGTTCTGGATGACGACCATCAACAAAAACCAGGGCACGATGTGGCGGCGCAAGAGTGACTTGTAGAAGGAGGGGATCTTGTCGGGGAGTTGGCGGTAGTAATCAGGTAGACCAACGAAGGAGATGACGCCTAGGCACCAGAAGATCAGGGCGATGGGAACGGTGATAACGAGGGCGACGGGGACTTTGTTGGCGATCCAGGTGCCGACGTGCGGAGAGCCGGTGGGGGTTTGCGCGGTGAGGAGGCTACCCCAGTACCAGAGGGCTAGAATGTAGACTTGTTGAATTCCTTGGATGATGGCGGCGCGGAAGATCCAGGTCATTATGGGAACACCGCCTGAGAGTTATGTTAGCATGGAAACGGCTGCCGAGATGAAGAGGAAAAGAGGGGAAAACGGAAGCTTACCTTCATCGCCAAAGTTCATGGCAAA